CTACAGGAAAGACACCAGCAGACAGGATAACGGGAGTTGATGTATTCATACTCAAGAAGGTAGGCCACAGGGAGTGCTCCAATTATTGGCGCATTAAGTTAATGAACTTCCCAGGAAAGTCTACGCAAAGGTGCTAGAAAGGAATAACTGACTACAAGATACAAGAAGAGTAGTGTGGCTTCCGGCCCGGTCGAAGCACCTCTAACAACATATTAGTCCTGTGCCAGATTGCTGAGAAATCGTGGGACTTCGCCCGTCCGGTGCACGTATTTTTTTGACCTAGAAAAAGCCTATGAACGGATCCAACGCAACAGTCTGTGGTCATGCCCGCGAGCATACGGGATAAATGGCCAACTGTTCAGGGCCATCTAATCACTACACTCTGAGAGCAGGTGCTGCGTCAGAGAAAAATGGCGTTAAGTCCAAGCCTTTTAACGTTGGCACTGGCCTCTGCCAAGGTTGCGTCCTGTCCCCTCCAGTGCTTGTGTTGTATATGGATAGTATAGTCAGGAGCAGCTAAGGCAATGAGTGTATCGGTGTAGGAAATGTAAAGACGAGAAAATTGCTGTTTGCTGATGAACTCGTTTAATTGGCATCCTCTGAAACTGATCTACAGTGCTATCTAGAAATGTTCGCAGCTGAATGCGGCGTAACCGGCATGCGTGTGAACGCATCTAAAACGAAAAGCCTAGTGGTTTCTCGTTCCTCTGCCCGTTGCTTTTTTTTAGATTAACGAAAGGCAGTGGAGCAGGTGGAGAAGTTCAAGTACTTCAGAGTCGTATTTACTAGTGGCGGAAAATTTGAGGAAAAGATCGACCGGGGAATTGGCGCAGCCAGTGACGTTCTGCTTGAACTAACCCGAAGCACTGTGACTAAAGCAGAGCTCAGTCTGAAAACTGAGCTCTCGCTGTTGAAGTCGATGTCCATCCTCATGCCTATCTACGGTCATGAGTTGTGGACTATGACTAGAAAACTTCGAACCGGGGTACAAGCTGTTGAAATGGGCTTTCTTAGACGAGTCGCTGGCCTTACGCGTCTCGACATGATCCGGAATACTGATGTCTGGGAGATGCTTGGTGTACAGCCTCTGCTTCTCGAGATTGAGAAGTCATTGCTGCGATGATTTTGGCCTTTGTTGCGAATGCGTCCAGAAAGGAGGGCTAAGCAACTGTTTCTTACGAATCCTACAAGCAGAAAACCCAGGGGACAGCCAAGATTAACCTGGTGCAAATATATGGAGGGAGTCTGTTCCAGACTCCAGTTGTCTTCTGCCGAAGCTCAGACTCTGGCACGGTATCGGGAACGTTGGAAGCACCGTGTGATGCGTCTGCCTCCTCGACCCGAAAGCAGATGCGACCATGGAAGAGGAATGAATGAATGAATGAATGAATGAATGAGTCATGGCTTAAAGATGGATAATCAAAGCAGAAATAAATGCGCAGACAAAATAATCTGATACTCAGCACAGTCAGTAATGCCATGAAACAGCGTCGCGGTCGCGGTTGGCGTGTAAAGAAGGTTGGACACTGAATTTCTGATTTTGCTCCGTCTTGGAATAAATGTTAATATGCCGGCATCTTGTAGATGAACTGCTCAAGAGGCACTAACCCAGTCCATCATGCAAGGCGCGACCGCAGGTGGTACAGTGTTCCCCTCGGGAATACGGTAAGCAGTAGCTGAATTGTCAACACGTAATGCGAAACCATTTAGGAGGCCAGCAAATCCGGAGATGGAGAGAATACGAGGAATGTTTCAAATCCGAACAACCCTGAAAAGACTCGCCTGCAGGGCAGCAGGCAAATGATATTAAGTTTTTCAGTAGATTAAGTCACAGAAACTGTAAAAAGACCGGCAGGTGGCAAGACTGTTGCAATCGATGAAATCCACTCTGAACTACTTCAAGCTTCAGGTCTGTGGCTACCAGGGAAGACACCAGTGGACTGGAGAACGCTCAAGAAGGGAGACCATACGGAGTGCTCCAATTATCGGGTACAAGAAAAGCAGTGCAGCCTCAAGTCAGACTGAAAGACTCATACGTCATTATTCTGAGAAATCGTGGGAGCCTGCTCATCCGGCTAACATGCGTTTAGCTCAAAGGGAGAAAGGTTACCACTCGATCGCCCGCAACAAGCATT